CAGCATTATATTAGACAACTTATCAAAACGTTGTCCTTCAATGTTGGTGCTCCACCTCTTATAACTCACCTTAATTTTTGTATGGCATCTGTTTATATTTTTCCTCCAACGCAGTAAAATGTACTTTTCTAGAACGTGTAAAACCCTTTTATGAATCAACACAATAATGACATATCTGCATAAAATCCCCTTGACTCAAACAAATGACAAGTACAACGAATACCACACGAACTTTCTTCAAAGTACACCGCAAAAGGAACACGGCGACTAGTATCTCTAAACCAAACATCTTATAAAACTTGATACTTCTCGTATGAATAGCAATTTTTCAAAAAAGATAATTGACAATAAATCTTCCCCGCAATCTCTTCTTGAAACTCTTTAAACTTTGTAGTTGTGTATGCACTTTGAAATTGTTTCTCAATAGGGTAATTAGTTATGCATGGTATTCAAGATTTGAAAGATCTAAAATTAGCCTCCCTTTCTTTTTTCCCTTTATCTCGCAATGCATTATCATATTGTTCCACAAATTGTTTCAAAGTAGTTTTGGAATTTACATATTCATCAAAAAATGCATGCATGCTTTCACTACGTTGGCTAGTAGACATACCTGCCTAGAAAGTATCTTTAAGAAATGCAGACACCTACCATACTCTTTCTTTGTACAATCCACATAACCATTCATTCTCATGAAGGTTGTTCACGTCAACAAATTGGTTCCACCGTTCTTCGAACCCTTCACACGTAAAGGAATCATACACAATATTTTGCAATTTAAACTTTATAGTTTCATATTCCTTATACCTTCTTAACTTTTCAGGCAGTTTCTTCATTATATGCCACAAACACCACTTATGTCTTGTACCAGGGAAAACAATCTCAATTGCATTTTGCATGGCCTTATCTTGATTAGTGATAATTCCATTAGGAGTAACATCCCTGCATTCAAGCCAAGAACGGAATAGCCATATAAATATCTCACTGTCCTCATAGGAAATTAACCAACAACCTAACAATGTCGAATGTCCATGATGATCAACCCCCACAAAAGAAGCAAATGGCATATCATACTTGTTCGTTATATACGTTGTGTCGAAGGTGACAACATCACCGAATTCTTTATATGCGACCCTACATCTAGCATCAACCCATAGCACATTTTGTAATTGACTCTCTTCATCTACATCAATCATGTACCAGAAATTTGAATTCTTATTTTGCATTTTCATAAAATACTCGAGTACTGCCGAAGTATCTCCATTTCCAAGTCGTAGCCTTCTCTTTATCTACAAAAGGATTGTAGGAACGTCAAATTCTCTACACCTCATGCCTCAACTGAACATGACTGAAAATTTTTACACGGTCTAATCCTAACCAAGTCATTAACTTCAAGCCTCCTTTTCACATACGATTGTATCATTCGGTTAACCTTGAAATATTTTTTTTTATCGGACTTTTAAGATCATGATTATGTTCAAGTACAACTGATTTAATTTCCCATTGCATTGACCATTCAAAGTTGCACTAATCCGACTCTTACAATCTGTTTTGGCAACATTTTGCTTTTTCAAGGTATTTCTGGATTTACATCTCTCCTTCCCAGAACAAGAACACGCGACTGTCACATATCTCATCTCCCCATCATCGCCTTTCTTTGACGTACGTATCATTGCTTCAAAACCTATTATGTTACCATACCGTTTGTAATACTTCACCAGACTATCAACTGAATCAAAAACCATTCCAATATGAGGCTCCACTTCTTCCTTCACATATCCCATATCTTCTCATTCATCACGTTCATTTTCCTGATCATTTAATGGTTTTATAATTGACAAAATTAGAATGTACTAATACAACATATTATAAGAAACAATATGATACAACAAATTTAAAATCATGTTAATGAAAAAGTTAAGGTTTCGAGCACAATTTACCTCAATATCATTGAAATGAGGCAAACTGGATTCTTCCATATTCTGTAATTTCATGCAAAACCAATACTAGTGTTTGCATTCACGAATCTGATTTACAACAATCACCAACAAATATTCTCTATCAGCTATTTTCTATTGTAACATATATTCAATCCAAAATAAAATACAAAACTAAATAAATGCATAAGTTAAATAAAAAACTCCTTAACTACCTCAACAAATCTTTCTAATATGAAAAATTTTGATCTCCCTAACTCCCTTTCCACCCTAAACATTTGTTTCATGAAAAATTGGTGGCTTTCTTTCTTGTCACGATAGCCGGTTGTTGAGGAAGAAATTGGTTGTGGCTGTTGAGGAAGAAAATAGAAAAAAAAAATGTAAATTAAAAAAAACATTTTATTTTCGTATGGACTGTCGTCCACATTAAATGGACAACCGTCCATTATTATATTACAAAATGTCTGCGAACTAGAAAACTCAATTGAACAACCTTCTTCCTTTCGTGGGCATCTTCATCTTTCTCCGCTGACTTTCTTGGTTGGACCAACCCAACCCACTTGGAAGGCTTCATCCGGGTAGCACATCCCTCTTTTTTTGGCTGTTTGGATTACTAAAAAACCAAACTAAAAGCATGGTTGGCATTGAAGAGTTGGATGAGGAAGAAGTGTTTGAAGAGAAGATACACTTTTTTTCCTAATAGGGACACCCGTCCATAACATATGGACAGGATGTTATGGACAGGTGTCCGAAAAATTTGTATTAAAATTTTTATTTTAATTGAAGGTATGGATGGGTGTCCATTTTGTGTGGACTCCCGTCCATAGCATATGGATGAGCATCCATAACTGTTTTTTTAAATATTTTTTTCATTTAAATTATGGACAGGCGTCCATTGTAGGTGGACGCTTGTCCATTTAGTATGGACTCCCATCCTTTGATTATGGACGAGAGTCCATGATTTTTGTTTTCCAATTTTTTAAATTTAAACTATGGATGGGCATCCATTATAGGTGGACACTCGTCCATAGTAAATGGACTCCCGTCCATATTATATGGACGAGAGTCCATCATTCATTTCGCATGAACGAGGGTCCATTTATAATGAATGACCGTCCAAAATGTGGCTGGTCTGAGTCAGATGACACGTAATTCGGTGTAAAAATTTGGTACACAATCCCGGTGTCCATAGCATTATTGTACAATATTACATCATTTTACTCTAACCACTAACCATGATTAATAGCTAATTAACTATAGTTAATATGCTGACTTTGACTAACAGTTACAACTTAACTAAGGTAACTAAACTAACCAATTTGTAACAAACTTAACTAAGTTTGTAACTAATTACAATACAAACAACACAGTATGTAGTCTCCAATAGTTTAGGGTGTGTTTGTTTTATCATTTTGGGTTGGATTTTTGAAAACGTTAGAGTTGGATAATTATTATAAGGTAGGATTTAAAAATTAACAAAGACACCTCCCTAGTTTTATTAATTTACTAAACACCCTTACAATAAAACATTGAAAATTAATAAGAACACCCCTACCCACCCATTAAATATTGGACGTTTGCCACCACCGCCGAAGGGTGGACGACAGTCACTATAATGGCGTATGATTGACTGGATTTGGCTCGTCGTGTGTCGATATGACTTTTTACAGCCAGATCCACTATGGATCTGGTCAGAAAAGGCCAAATCTGGCCACATTTGGTCGTCAACGACGGCCATATCTTGGTCGTTGTTGATAACCAGCTACGGTCGTAGATCTGGTCGTCAATATCCAGGTCTTTGGCCATAGATCTGACATTTTCTGGCTAGATCCACCATGGATCTAGCCGGAAAAGACTAGATTGGCGCACTACTGGCCAGATCCAATCAATAGATTACGCCAGATTCCTGCTACCTTCCGGTGGTGGTGGCCGAAATCTAGCAAATGAGGGTGGGTGGGGGTTTTGTTGTCAATTTCTAAACTTTTTTTCTTTTAGGGGTGTTTAGTTAAATTAACAAACTTATGGGGTTTAAAATAGTTGAATAAAATAGAATTGGATTTTTAGAATAGGGAAATAAATATATATTTTGAGTAGGATAGGGATAGGATATGGTAGAAATAATGAAACAAACACACCCTTATGTATGTTTAAATAATTATAAGGCGTAACGTCAATACGTATATATGATATTGACACATCGCATGTGTCACCTGATCTATTAAAGAAAATTTTTGTCATAATAAATACACATATCTTACCAATTATAATATATATTTTAATTACGATTATTACTAGCATTTCTTTTGATAAAAAAACACTAAAAATAAGAAGAAATTCACATGAAAGTTTAGTTTATACATTTTGTGGATCCTCTCCAAAGAGTTAATTATTGTATATGGAAATCAAATGATAAAAGATATTTAGAGAAAACTAGCAATTTGCTTCATTATGTATTGAATTAGTTTGTATACAAAAATTTGTAAACACGACATTATTCTTAAAAAAAAAAAAAAGTTATAATAATAATCTTTGTGAAACTATCTAAATTATATGGGAGGAAAGAGAGAAATAAATATCATTTGTCATGATTTTTTACAATAAATTTATCGAATGTATTAGACAACACCATCTTGTTTTAAATCCTTTATTCAATAATGTCTTGCTTGAATGACTTCTAACACATGCCTAATACCATTTAAACTTGAAAAGACAAAGCCAAATAATACTTCATAGAGACGTCTAGACGGTCGTATAGTCATTATAGTCTCAACATTCATGGGAGAAAATCTTAATACGAGACTAATTTTATGAACTTAACCTAAATTTTTGATGCTTAGATTAATTATAACTAACCTCTCTGAATAAGGATAGTATTAAGAAACACTTAATCTCATGCTTATTACTAAACACACAAACACAACCCCCCTCCCAAAACCAAAAAAAAAAAAAAATCTCATGCTAATTACAAAATGTCCCAAAAGGAAAATAATATGACAAATTCTTCCCCTCTGAACCGTCTGCTGTCCTACTTAAACCGGCAATATCTTTTAAAGTCGGTTCAGTTTAGTTAATATTTTCGATCCGTCATCGATCGCCATTTGTCATTGTATCATATTTTCATCCGTCTCTCTGAAACCTAATTTTCTCAGCAAATTAAAAATCTTTCGAAGCCCTAATCCCAATTTGCTCCCAATTGCATGAACCAACTAGAAATATGGATTCCAAAACCCAAATCTTCATCAAAACTCCAACAAATTCCCACAAAGCCCTAACCCTAGATCCCACACAATCTGAAACCCTAACCCTAGCGCACCTCAAAAGCTCTCTCCTTTCAAACTATCAGTTTCTCTCCTCTTTTTACTTCACTCTCAATGGAAAAACCCTCGACGAATCAACCCCACTTTTTCAAAACCCACAAATTGCCCCTCTTTCCACTCTTTATCTCCGCCAACGCGTTTTCGGAGGCGGTGGTGATGGCGGCGCGACGGGAGCGGAGTCACGCGACTGTTATCTTAACATGTATGCCGAGAAGAAGCCGGATAAAATCGACCCACATGAACAGAAACTCTCCAAGTGGTTGAATTGTGCGTTATCGAACGAGCCATTGAAGGAGCCTTGTGTGATCGACAAATTGGGTAATATTTTTAATAAAGAAGCGCTTGTTCATGCTTTGTTGAGTAAAAATTTGCCTAAAGAGTTTAGTTATATAAGGGGATTGAAGGATATGATTAATGTGAAGCTTTCTAGAGTTCCTGGAGGGGAGGAGTTTGGTGATAATGTGAGGTTTCAGTGCCCGATAACGGGGCTTGAATTCAATGCGAAGTATAGGTTTTTAGCATTAAGGAGCTGCGGGCATGTGTTTAGTCTTAAAGCATTGAAGGAAGTTAAATCGTCATCGTGTTTGGTTTGTCATGAGGATTTTACTGAGATGGATAAAATTGTGCTCAATGGGAACGAAGAGGAGGTTGCTGTGTTGAGGGAGAGGATGGAGGGAGAGAAGTCCAAAGTTAAGGACAAGAAGGTGAAGAGAGTGAAGAATGGTGATCTGGGTGCAGGCAAAGAGGAGGTTTTGGATTCAGTAAAAGTTGGTGGGAAGAAGCGAGGAGTTGTTGAAAGTAAGGGTATGGAGAAGGCTTCGAGTAAAGTGGAGGGTAATGGTATGGTTGAAAATGTGAAGGGTATGAGTGCTAATGCTCCAGTAAAGAGATTTAAGGCAGTTGATATAGCGCCGGCACATGCTAATAAAGAAGTGTATGCCTCAATATTTACATCATCGAGGAAGTCAGATTTTAAGGAGACCTATTCATGCAGATCTCTCCCACTTGGTAGGAATTGATTATTGAAGGTTTAAGATGGCAAAGGGCATTTATTGTAAGTCGATGTTTTACCTATTTCTATTGTAATTTCAGTTTATAATGAATCGAGAATATTGGTGCTTCGCAGTTGGAATATGATCCATGTCAAACATTATATTAACTTGAATAAAATAAATTGTGTAATTTTTTCTTAGTTGAAAGACATTTTGTGAAGCCATTCTTTGGATTTGGTTCTTTGAATATCCAGTTCGCTTTTTGTGTATGTTAATGTTCTATCAAAAAATGTTTATATTCATAATTGACAGCTTAGGATATTTGTATATGAATTTATTTGATATTGCTTTAGCTTGAGTGTTCTCCCGTATAATAGCCCCGCAAGGGGGATTGTTCAAGGATTTGGCAGCCACAATCCTTTTTACTGTCACACTCTTTTTGGCATTCTCATATCATTTAAATATCTTGATGGAGCTTGGGTATACAAGGATGAATTTGTTTTCTGATGCTTTGCCATTTCATAGGCAACCACCTTTTTCCCCAAATCACTTCTTATATTTATAGGCCACCCTCCCAAGTTATAAGACTTAAATTTTTATTTGTCATCCTGGGGCTTATGTTTCTGTTTGGCAAGAGTTTCTGCATTTCTGCAAATTCCTTTAGTAAAATTTATCTCCTCAGAAAATTGAACTGGGAATCCCGAAAGATAATGATTGAAATGCAGGATGAGATTAGGAAGAGAACTTTTTTTATTGGAAATATATTAGCAGTAGGGTCTAAACTTTTGATCAATAGTTGTATGAATCTCTTTTTTCAGTTGGTACTACTTGTTGCATTCATTCCTTCATTTATCTATTTATGTCAACCTCTTTGTACCGCGAAAAGCTTTGTTTCTCCATTTCCAGTTTATGAATCGAAGAGTTTTGATTGAGCTATGGCTCTCATAACTTTTGATGAGGCATGCTACTGTCCTTAGTAGTAACAATAACAATCCAAGGACATTTTGTTAACTCATTATATGTGGGCATGGAGTTGAAAGGTGCACAATGGAGTATCGTTACTCTATTCCTACTCAATAAAAGAAAGGATGTTTTATTTCATGCTTTTCTTTATAGTGAAAAAGAAAAAAAAAAGACAATTGGCATAAAAATAATGCTTTTATTGACAGTCGAACTCAAGACCTCCCGCTTACTAAACGGGTGCTCTAACCAACTGAGCTACAAAAGCTTGTTTCTGATTGGGTGGTTCTCAGTGAAAATATATATTTAAATAGATTACCAGCAATAGTATCCTTAATCTAATGATTTAACCCCTTCTAAAGTGCATTGTTTTTATATGCACTTTGTATTAAAATTTAATTAATCAAGTTTAAATTAAGGATGAAATGACTCCATTAAGTAACAGTTGAAACCATGCTAAAGAGATCAGCATAGCATGGACAAGAAGATTCTACACAATTCTAGGCCTCCATATGGGGTCATCAAAATGTTTTCATTTCACTTTTTAATTATTATTTTTGTGATTTTCTAGGCTTTTTGGTTTTGGAGGGGCCATAGAGTCAAAAATTCTAGCTTACTATATGATTAAACTTGGAATAAGAAAGAAAATTGAATTATTATCATTGAAGGACTTTTTCTTTTTTCATATATAAATTAAAACAAATAATTTTGTAAAAATAGGATACCATTAACAGTTCATGGAAATAAGTAAGAAAAAGGAAGAAAAGGGAAAGTGTGACCTCCTATTATCCACAAATAAGATACACTTTGAATATAAGTTTTTTCTTTATTAAAAAATTAATGAAAATACATATATTATACACATTAATGTGATATTACAGTATACATATACCATGAATATGTTACATGAAATTTTTTTTCTTGTGATTAAACATACATCCGTTGTAATGAAGGTTTTTATTTTATTTTATTTTGTAATAACGATATAATTTTTTTTTTATAAATATATAAGATATAAAAATTAAATAAAAAGGGAGTAAAATATGAGCCACACCCACACATGTATATAAACACCAATAATCAACTGGCAAAGTCTTTCATCTTCTCTCTCTTTAATGTTACAATGTAAGCACAGGAAGACTAAAGCCTTTTAACAGCTTTTGCTTCTTGTCCAAAAGCTCCTCATAATCTTCTCAATCTTTTCTAGTTTTAGAAATTTTCAATAAAAATTTCATATTTTTAATCTCATTACCCCTTAAACCTCATTTGTTTCTCTTCAAAATCCCAAATTTTTAAACTTATTTTTAAATTTTTTTGTGAGAAACCACCCTATATTAAAAGACAAAAAAACCGCTCTCTTCTTCAACGTTGCCACAGACTGAGGTATTGCATAGCATCTCTTTGTTTTTCTTCATCTTGTTGTTTGTTTGTTGGATTTGTAGGGCTTTTATTTTATTTCTTAATGGGGTTTTCACTATTTGAGTTTTTGTCATATTGATTCTAGGGTTTTTATGGGGTTTTCTTAATATGGGTGCTTTTAGTTTTAGGGTTTTATTGATATAATGCGGGCGTTCATTTGTTTTATTTGTCTAATCCTTTAGGGGTTTTGCAAATTTCTTTTGTTGGTTCTTGTTTTTATTTATTTGTTTTTCATTTGATATTGAATTGTGGAGTTATTTTATGCATGGGCTTGTGCTTGCATTTGGTTTAGTGTAAAGTTTGTTTATTGGGTTTTTTGTTTTGTTGTTGTTTCAGTTGCAGATATTGGTATTCATTAGCTTCTTTATGTATTGCTTGTGTCTTGCAAAAAGAAGAGGAGAATATGTCGATTTTGCCTAAAAGCGAATCGATTCACATTCGTGAAGTATGGAATGATAATCTTGAGTATGAGTTTGCTTTAATCCGGGATATCATTGATGATTAACCTTACATTGCAATGGATACAGAGTTTCCTGGAATCGTTCTACGTGTAATAGGGAATTTTAAGAACAGTTCTGATTTTAATTACCAGAACTTGAAAGCGAATGTTGATCTCTTGAAGTTAATCCAATTAGGTCTCACGTTCGCTGACGAGCAAGGAAATTTACCAAAGTGTGGGACTGATAAGTACTGTGTGTGGCAATTCAATTTTCGCGAGTTCAACCCTGATGAAGATGTTTATGCTTATGATTCCATTCAATTATTGTCCCAAAGTGGCATTGATCTTAAGATGAACAATGAAAAGGGTGTTGATGCTTGTAGATTTAGTGAGCTCTTGATGTCATCCGGGATCGTGTTGAATGATTGTGTGCATTGGGTTACATTTCATAGTGGATATGATTTTGGGTACTTGCTTAAGCTATTGACTTGCAAGGATTTGCCGGATACGCAGGCGGGGTTTTTTGACTTGATCAAGATGTATTTCCCTACACTTTATGATATCAAGCATCTGATGAAGTTTTGCAATAGCCTTCATGGTGGGTTGAACAAACTCGCTGAGCTGTTGGAAGTGGAGAGAATTGGGATTTGTCACCAAGCGGGTTCAGATAGTTTGCTTACTTGTTGTACATTTATGAAACTGAAAGACAATTTCTTTAAAGGCTCACCTGAGAAGTATGCTGGTGTTTTGTATGGTCTTGGAGTTGAGAATGGACAGATTACCCACTGAAAAGACAAAAAAGTTGTGAAATGAAATAAAAATTATAGAACCGTTTCTAGACTACATGCTTGTTCCGATTTTCCCTATCTCTATGCCTTACTATCATTTTTTTCTTTCACATGTTTTTCATTGTATTGGAAATAGGATTAGTCATTTTGTGATTGCAGGTCAAAGATAATTGCTTTTCTTAGAATTGGACACTACTGATCTTTAGATTCTTTACATCGTCAATTTTATCTTGTTAGGCTTCTCTTATAATAGTTATATTTAACAGCCTCTTTATGTTATGGCTGGTTGGCCACATTCAGTTCTGTGAAAGGACCTGAGCACTTTGCTAAATAGTTGAAGAACAAAGCTGCAAGAGAAAGCCAGCTTCAGTAGTTTCTGAGCAAAGGCTCAAGGTATGCTATAGCTTTATCTGATTGAACGCAGATGTTATTATTTTTATTTTTATTTCATGTGGATTGTTGTTTCATTTTCTCTGCTTCTTGTACTGAGATTTTGTTTCCTATGGCGAAAGTTTTAGGCATGTTCTGATCAGTTACCTCATTAGTAATTTCCTTTTTGCTATATTTTGTCTGTCAAGCAAGCATTAGGCAACTGAATCAGGCGTTTGGTAGAAATGTCTAAGATTTTAGTCTTGATTAACTGTTAAGGATCAATTTCTTCTGGTCTTTAGATTCTTGGTTAACTGTATATCTTTTACTCAGGTTCTTACCTTGTGGCATCTTCGTGAATCGTGTATCTTATTCATTTTGTTAATTTATCTTTATAGTTTGTATTAATACAGAAGAGATTATTAATGATAAACATATCTTGATGCTTTATTGCTCATTTTCATGATTTGTGGCTTTTCTAGATATACATTATTGAAATAATTAAGAATTAAAGAATCAGCTAGTAAGAAACTGTGTCTGGTTCATTTAAATCTGATCTTGGTACTATGTAATCTTGCCAGAAAGTGATTTGTTGGAGAACTCCTTTACGAATTCTGTTGTATCTTTTTGATATATTCATGAAAGAATGTGCCGTAAGAGATGCAGGAAAACCTAATTGTTACCTAGAACATATAACTTCGATGCATTCTATACCTTTCTCTCCCATTTTTATCTAATTTTCCCCTGCTTTTATTCTTCTAATTATCTCCCATTTATTTTCTTCCGCTCCCAAATCCGCCTGCCATCCTTCCATGAACTTTAAAACCATCGTGAACTAGAGTGATGCTATTTTATGTTGTGCTTTCGGATAGCTTTGAATCAAGGATGAATAGGCATTTTATGCATAGTGTGAGAGCATCCTCTATGAAGAAGACTTATTGTACAATCTTTTACTCTGTCCAGTTGAAGCTATTCAGGGCAATTTTTTCATTCTCAATTGGTATTTTACAGAGTCGACACATGAGAATGAATTTATTGTGTTGCATTTTCATTCAAATTAATGATCAAAACAGCGAGAACGCCCCAGATTTATGCTTCTAAAGTTGTAACACTAGCTACTTGTTGATTCGATCGATTGATCGAAGCATCGGGAGGGAATATTTAGTATTTACTATTGTTTTTGTTCTCATTCTTTGCTTTATCTTGAAAAATAAGTTATATTTGTTCACTCATCATTTTCATTTTGTTAAAACTGAAAAAAATGGAGAAGAATACATAATTTTTTTCTTTTATGCAACGATGTTTCATGTTTATCATAAAAAGATGATAATCGGCGTGTTTATACTATCTTCAGATACTGTTTTTGATGTGCAAGTAGAGGTGGAAAAGTAACCCGCTTGGCCTGCGGCGGGTTACTTCTTTTGGCGGGTTGGTACTAACTCGCCCACTAACAAAGGCCTGCCATTTTTGGGGTAATGGCTGGCCCAACCTGGCCCGCCAACCCTAACCCCGTCGGGTTAGACTGCGGGTTGGGCCGGGTTAACCCTATTTTTTGATTTTTTTTTTTTTTTTTGTTTTATTTAGTGACTTTTCATTTTTTTTTTATAAATATATAAGATATAAAAATTAAATAAAAAAGGAGTAAAATATGAGCCACACCCACACATGTATATAAACACCAATAATCAACTGGCAAAGTCTTTCATCTTCTCTCTCTTTAATGTTACAATGTAAGCACAGGAAGACTAAAGCCTTTTAACAGCTTTTGCTTCTTGTCCAAAAGCTCCTCATAATCTTCTCAATCTTTTCTAGTTTTAGAAATTTTCAATAAAAATTTCATATTTTTAATCTCATTACCCCTTAAACCTCATTTGTTTCTCTTCAAAATCCCAAATTTTTAAACTTATTTTTAAATTTTTTTGTGAGAAACCACCCTATATTAAAAGACAAAAAAACCGCTCTCTTCTTCAACGTTGCCACAGACTGAGGTATTGCATAGCATCTCTTTGTTTTTCTTCATCTTGTTGTTTGTTTGTTGGATTTGTAGGGCTTTTATTTTATTTCTTAATGGGGTTTTCACTATTTGAGTTTTTGTCATATTGATTCTAGGGTTTTTATGGGGTTTTCTTAATATGGGTGCTTTTAGTTTTAGGGTTTTATTGATATAATGCGGGTGTTCATTTGTTTTATTTGTCTAATCCTTTAGGGGTTTTGCAAATTTCTTTTGTTGGTTCTTGTTTTTATTTATTTGTTTTTCATTTGATATTGAATTGTGGAGTTATTTTATGCATGGGCTTGTGCTGGCATTTGGTTTAGTGTAAAGTTTGTTTATTTGATTTTTTGTTTTGTTGTTGTTTCAGTTGCAGATATTGGTATTCATTAGCTTCTTTATGTATTGCTTGTGTCTTGCAAAAAGAAGAGGAGAATATGTCGATTTTGCCTAAAAGCGAATCGATTCACATTCGTGAAGTATGGAATGATAATCTTGAGTATGAGTTTGCTTTAATCCGGGATATCATTGATGATTATCCTTACATTGCAATGGATACAGAGTTTCCCGGAATCGTTCTACGTGTAATAGGGAATTTTAAGAACAGTTCTGATTTTAATTACCAGAACTTGAAAGCCAATGTTGATCTCTTGAAGTTAATCCAATTAGGTCTCACGTTCGCTGACGAGCAAGGTAATTTACCAAAGTGTGGGACTGATAAGTTCTGTGTGTGGCAATTCAATTTTCGCGAGTTCAACCCTGATGAAGATGTTTATGCTTATGATTCCATTCAATTGTTGTCCCAAAGTGGCATTGATCTTAAGATGAACAATGAAAAGGGTGTTGATGCTTGTAGATTTAGTGAGCTCTTGATGTCATCCGGGATCGTGTTGAATGATTGTGTGCATTGGGTTACATTTCATAGTGGATATGATTTTGGGTACTTGCTTAAGCTATTGACTTGCAAGGATTTGCCGGATACGCAGGCGGGGTTTTTTGACTTGATCAAGATGTATTTCCCTACACTTTATGATATCAAGCATCTGATGAAGTTTTGCAATAGCCTTCATGGTGGGTTGAACAAACTCGCTGAGCTGTTGGAAGTGGAGAGAATTGGGATTTGTCACCAAGCGGGTTCAGATAGTTTGCTTACTTGTTGTACATTTATGAAACTGAAAGACAATTTCTTTAAAGGCTCACCTGAGAAGTATGCTGGTGTTTTGTATGGTCTTGGAGTTGAGAATGGACAGATTACCCACTGAAAAGACAAAAAAGTTGTGAAATGAAATAAAAATTATAGAACCGTTTCTAGACTACATGCTTGTTCCGATTTTCCCTATCTCTATGCCTTACTATCATTTTTTTCTTTCACATGTTTTTCATTGTATTGGAAATAGGATTAGTCATTTTGTGATTGCAGGTCAAAGATAATTGCTTTTCTTAGAATTGGACACTACTGATCTTAAGATACTTTACATCGTCAATTTTATCTTGTTAGGCTTCTCTTATAATAGTTATATTTAACAGCCTCTTTATGTTATGGCTGGTTGGCCACATTCAGTTCTGTGAAAGGACCTGAGCACTTTGCTATATAGTTGAAGAACAAAGCTGCAAGAGAAAGCCAGCTTCAGTAGTTTCTGAGCAAAGGCTCAAGGTATGCTATAGCTTTATCTGATTGAAAGCAGATGTTATTATTTTTATTTTTATTTCATGTGGATTGTTGTTTCATTTTCTCTGCTTCTTGTACTGAGATTTTGTTTCCTATGGCGAAAGTTTTAGGCATGTTCTGATCAGTTACCTCATTAGTAATTTCCTTTTTGCTATATTTTGTCTGTCAAGCAAGCATTAGGCAACTGAATCAGGCGTTTGGTAGAAATGTCTAAGATTTTAGTCTTGATTAACTGTTAAGGATCAATTTCTTCTGGTCTTTAGATTCTTGGTTAACTGTATATCTTTTACTCAGGTTCTTACCTTGTGGCATCTTCGTGAATCGTGTATCTTATTCATTTTGTTAATTTATCTTTATAGTTTGTATTAATACAGAAGAGATTATTAATGATAAACATATCTTGATGCTTTATTGCTCATTTTCATGATTTGTGGCTTTTCTAGATATACATTATTGAAATAATTAAGAATTAAAGAATCAGCTAGTAAGAAACTGTGTCTAGTTCATTTAAATCTGATCTTGGTACTATGTAATCTTGCCAGAAAGTGATTTGTTGGAGAACTCCTTTATGAATTCTGTTAGATCTTTTCAATATATTTAAGAAAGAATGTGCTGTAAGAGATGCAGGAAAACCTAATTGTTGCCTAGAACATATAACTTCGATGCATTCTATACCTTTCTCTCCCATTTTTATCTAATTTTCCCCTGCTTTTATTCTTCTAATTATCTCCCATTTATTTTCTTCCGCTCCCAAATCCGCCTGCCATCCTTCCATGAACTTTAAAACCATCGTGAACTAGAGTGATGCTATTTTATGTTGTGCTTTCGGATAGCTTTGAATCAAGGATGAATAGGCATTTTATGCATAGTGTGAGAGCATCCTCTATGAAGAAGACTTATTGTACAATCTTTTACTCTGTCCAGTTGAAGCTATTCAGGGCAATTTTTTCATTCTCAATTGGTATTTTACAGAGTCGACACATGAGAATGAATTTATTGTGTTGCATATTCATTCAAATTAATGATCAAAACAGCGAGAACGCCCCAGATTTATGCTTCTAAAGTTGTAACACTAGCTACTTGTTGATTCGATCGATTGATCGAAGCATCGGGAGGGAATATTTAGTATTTACTATTGTTTTTGTTCTCATTCTTTGCTTTATCTTGAAAAATAAGTTATATTTGTTCACTCATCATTTTCATTTTGTTAAAACTGAAAAAAATGGAGAAGAATACATAATTTTTTTCTTTTATGCAACGATGTTTCATGTTTATCATAAAAAGATGATAATCGGCGAGTTTATACTATCTTCAGATACTGTTTTTGATGTGCAAGTAGAGGTGGAAAAGTAACCCGCTTGGCCTGCGGCGGGTTACTTCTTTTGGCGGGTTGGTACTAACTCGCCCACTAACAAAGGCCTGCCATTTTTGGGGTAATGGCTGGCCCAACCTGGCCCGCCAACCCTAACCCCGTCGGGTTAGACTGCGGGTTGGGCCGGGTTAACCCTATTTTTTGATTTTTTTTTTTTTTTTGTTTTATTTAGTGAACTTTTCAAATAAATAATTAACGATTTATAAATGAATAAATGTAATTGTTTTTAGTTACCTTTTCAAATATTAATAATTCAATTAAATTAATTTTTTTTAATTAACATTTCAAATATTAATTTAATTTTAATATAATAAAATTGTAATATAAGAAAAATTAGACTTATTCATTCAATTGATGAAACGTTAGCATAAGAATGAATTATATTTTGTACAAAACATGGAAATTTAAGAATAATACTTTAATATTTATTTTTTTTATATTTTACGTACCATAAAAAATAATAATAACAATGCGTCAAATATTACGAACCTTTATACATTTTAATATTTATGATTTAGAAGTATAGTTTAATATTATTATGTAAAATTATTTGTAAGAGTTCAATCATAATAGTTTAATTAAAAAAATTAAAAAAATGGGAAAAACTTGAAAAAAATAATTAATTTTTATTTTTCTTGGGCCAACGTAAACAAATAGCAACCCGGCCTATCCGAGGGTTACATGCGGATTGGATTCAACCTGGCCCGTCTTATCTAATGCGGGCTGGGTTAGGGTTGACCTACCTAACCCGACCCATTTGTTCCATCTCTATGTGCAAGTCATCCCCAACTGCAAATTCATATATCAAGATTATCTCAGATTGAACAATCCATTTGAGTTAATATGAACACCAAAATTAAATGTAATGACAATAACATTTTACTTTACATCAATCCAAGTATAATCACCATGCTAATTCAAGTATAGCACAAAATTCAGCTAATCAAAGATAGGTTTGTCCAATTGCCTGATACAACTCCCGATTGTTATGAGAAAGCAGGAAAACAATATTAAGCATCCCTTGGCATCTTGGAGTAAAACATTGAAAAGGATCACACTGGGTAATCTTTGTATCGACATCAACCTAACCTTGCTTCTCTTCGTAGTACCTGTTTTGAGGAAGGAAAAATACAGGGTGATGGGAAAAAATAGGTCACATGTTTAAATAAGTCTCAACATATTAGAGGGAAAATGTGCAATGGCAGCACAAGTTACAAGCCGAGGCTCAGTGGAACTTCTTATAGAAGATGAAGGTTTCATCTGGATTGAGGAGTCCTTTATGGGTTGTTATGAACATGTAGGCGTGCAAAAAACACCTCTTAGAGGAAAATGGAAGTAATGATTTAATGTTTCTCGTTAAAACCAGTTGAATAAGCATCCAAAATTGTGATTTATTATACTAATAATTGTTCAATCATTATGAAGATATGATGAAAATTTTGCTTAATTAACTAGGTAAAGTATCTTCAAGGATTCATAGAAATTATAAGTTATTAAATCAAGGCTTAGATTGGCTCCAATTTACGGACCATGCATCATTGATAATAACCTCAATCATTTAGCTCATGAATCCTAGGGAATGAGTAATCCCTTTGGCAGATGGTGAATCTAAGATCAAGATGCAATTTGCAATAATGAAAGGGTTAAATGTCAAAAGTACCTCTTCAGCGAACTTTATTAAAATGGTTGTCCGAGGCCTTTGCTGTCCCTCCACTGGTACAAAGTGTGCTGTTACAACGGCAGGGAAGCCAGCACTATCCAAAACACCCTTTAAAGAGAAAATATATGTCCATCACAATTTTATCTACCAGCTGACCAGTCAATATAAACAAGATCAATGTGCATCTTACCCTTACTATTCCAGCAACAAATGCTCCGCAATTAAATGTCCCCATATCTTTTGGGATTGAAATAAATCTGAACACAAAAAAGTTTGGAATAAAGGATCATCAGTTTGACTTGACAGGAGACAGGATACAGTGAGTTGGAATAGTTGCATAATGAGTGAAAGCAATAAGCATATCAAAACCTGTTTACAAGAAGCTCTTTCTCACTGATCATATATTCATCTTCATGTTCAGTACCTTTCTCAAGTGAGTCAGCCACCTATTAAGGTCAAAGAATAAGAGTCCGTTAGGTAAAGACTAGGATGAACAATATTGAGCTTGTAAGAGAACATGGAGAAATCACAGATCAGAAGAGGGATAAAGAAATAAATTTCCTTAACTGACACAAAGAGAGAAATTGCTGAACTCTCAGCTATTACAGCCGACAAACACATATGGCCAAGTAAAATTGCTTACCTTTCCAAATAAAACCTTCCAAACAGTGCTGTGCACGAAAGACAAAATACCCAACAACCGAGTCTCCCTTCTATTTCCCTGTGGCATAAAATATGAATAAATATTTAAGCAAACAGTACCTACAACAATTTCACTTATGCCATGAATTACTATAATGTATAACCGCAAATAAGCACACACACTGCCAAGCATAAACAGAACAAACTTCCATGAGACAACACCACTAGGCTTCTAGTTTGAGCTAAGATATCATGTGAGGTTTCAAATGTTCAATGGATAATCACAGAAATTGTGCATAGCAGAATTTCTCAATACAAAGAAAGCTGGCAGCCAATGCAACTCATAAGTTACAGCAGACAGATTGATATTTCCTTGGAATCGGGTTCTTAAAGTTCCTTGCCAACTCCCTACAAGAAAATCTATAGATACCACACAAGAAAAGCATATCTTCATGCACTAGTAATTGGAGCCCAAACAAATAAAACCAAGAAACAAGACTAGGACTCAAGGTAATTTAACCTCAGAAAATTCATAGTACACAAGGCCGCACAATATCACAACTAAAATAAATGTTAATACCTTAGCAGCAGAAACATTCAACGAGTTTAAACATATAATGCATTAAAAATGTAACAATAGTTGCAAACACAATAAGAATGCCTATTTGTTGTTTAATACCAGTAATTCAAACTTCATTCATGAACAAGCTTTCCAATCATAGTATGTGATGAAAGTCAGTCCTACATGCTCATGATACTATCAATGGATTCCATTACCAACTTACTGTCAATGACAGAAATAAAAAGGTCCATCGATAAACTAACTTTATCATTGCCACTTATATAGCTCATTTAGGCAAATCAATATCATGCAACAGCAAATATATAACGCTAACAATCACATAGATATTCAACAGAAATGTAATGTTACATCATACCTTATCCCTGTGGCAAAGAAGTTCTAGAACTCGAGCTCCGACAGCATAACCTGCATCCTCCAACCTGTGCCGTCGAACCATAATAATTAATGGATAACCACAACAACTAAAACAGTACACAAATAATGATGAATGACTCAACTTGGCATTGCACATATTGAGTCAAACATAACAATCCATTATTTGAGAAAAAATCCAAGATTTCATGTCATTGAAAAATATACAATATACAAACACTAAACAAGTACAATATAAATATGGAGGCTAATTTTTCAAACAAGATTAACAATTACCTTCGCTCTAACTCCGCAATATTGTCAACCTGAGTTTGATTGTACTGAACAAGCTCCGAGAACAAAAATGCAAATGCACTCAAACTTACCTGACAATCATAATAAAATTAAACAAATTTTCAAAAAATATTCATACTTCAGCCCCAAAATTTAAAATCATTTGCAAATATTACCCTTAATTTGCCTAATCATCAATTCAAATACAACAAAATCAAAGATCGAAGTACCAGAAGATCAAAGTAAATATTTCCATAAAACAATGTGAAATGCTGCTAAGATCTGAATATCAATTTTTAATAGTAAAGTAACAGAGGAATCAAAATCCCGAGGTAAAGTACCCAACTTGTTATTTTTCCTGCAGAATTTATCGGCAGCCAAACAGAGTTTGAAGTGGAAAAGAAATTCTAAGAGTGAGAAAGAGTGGTACCTCTTGCTTGCCTTTGCTGAGAGGTTTGTCGAGAACGTTAGAGTACTGCTTGATCTTTCCTACTCCGATCATGTTTGCCTCTGTGATTTTCTTTCGTTTTCTCCCAGTTTCTCGTTCACTTTCTCGGAGTATGCGAATCCAATCGAGGAAAGAAAATTTTGTAGAACCGAGTCGGGTCGGGTTTAGTTTGTACTGTCTTCACGAACCGGGTCCACCCTTTTATTAACCTCCAAGATTTTGGTGTAACAACGAGCCCTACATGTTTTAGAAAAAAGGATCTTTAACCCCATCGTTAAAATTAATGTTCAAAAGGGTATTATTGTCTTTTTAATAATTAATGGATATAAAAAAAAAAAAAAAATTTTAAACCCAAATCAAATGTAAAAACATTGAAATTAAAACACCAATAAATTGACTTAATGGCTTTAAGGTCTCATACGGTTAACAAATATGGTTAATCGCGAGGGTAACGTGATAACTTGTATAGTCAAATACAAGAGCCTTAAATGACAACCATTTCTAACTAGACATTATGGCATTAAACGGTAATGATATCTAGTTAAATGTTCAGGCATCAAGTAATAACCATATTTGTTTTACTTTACTGTTAATTCTGGATTCTGTATTGCGTTATGTTTACATAGAGATGTTTGAGTTTTGTTTCTACAAGCTTGATTGCCTGAACAACACATTTCCACCACCATTCACAATTGTTTGAGTGTATATATTGACAAGTTAACATAATAATACCTAACATTAACAAATGTTGCATAAGGTCCTATTTAGAAAACTCATGGGAGGTCATTTGTCATAAAGCTAAACTTACAGGGCTTAAATATCCCAGCGTTCATATTAATTTATACGATAAAAAAAAAAAAAAAAAAAATATAATATACAACGCAGTACACAATAAAGCTCCTCTCGCATACGAGCACAAAAATTGAACCAAACCTCAAAACCCTTCTCTGTTCTCTCTTTTCCTTTAACTCAACTCTCTTTCTTCCTCTTTCTCTCTCTTTTATATTCTATGGAAGACGACGACGAGTTCGGAGATCTCTACACTGACGTTCTCCAGAATTTCTCTGTTCCGCAGCCCTATAGTAACTCACCTGCGCCCGCACCCTGCTCTCTCCCCCATCAAATCGACCTCAACCTCAAATCCGATCCTACCCCAGTCAAATCTTATCCTAATTCCACTCCTAATGATTTATCTGCGTCACGGCCGCAGCTGTCTGAATTGCACGCGCCGGCACGCGCGAGGGATGTGGACGGTGTTGGTAAAGGCGGTGAATTGGCGGAGAAAGATGTGAAATTCGATATCGAGGAGGTTAATAACGAGGTTTTGAACGATGACGTGTCGGTGATCCCCGGGATTGGGAGCGAGGTGGTTGTGAAGGCGGAGAAGAACGAGAGCAAGAGCGGGAAGGGAAACGGCGACGTAGCGGCGGGAGAGGAAGAAGAAGATTGGGATAGTGACAGTGAGGATGATTTGCAGATAGTGTTGAATGATGAGAATCACCGGCCTATGGTGATTGATGAAGGTGGTGGTGATGACGATGACGACGACGACGAGGATGGAGACCCACTGGTGATAGTTGATGACGTGGACGCGAATAATCAGGGTTTGTTGAAGGAGGAGGAAGATTGGGGAGGAGCAGGAGCAGGAGGAGATGAAGCGGCTGCGGCGGGTAGTGCTGGGGAGGGAGGAGTGGATAAGAAGGAGGGTGGAGATCGGGTGAATGGTGGTCCGGCGGGAGGTGTGGCGGCAGCCGCAGCAAAGATTGGGTATAGCAATCATTATGGGTATCATAATCCATATCATTCTCAGTTTAAGGTTAGTTTGTTAGTTAGTTAGTGTTCTTTTGTGTATACATATATGTAGATGTGTTTGTATTTATTTTTAAGTGGGGTTATGTGATATAACCCTTTGTTTGATGGTGATGATGAGAGTGAATTGGATTGTAGATTCTAAGATTGTAAATCTTCTTTATATGCCAATGAAGTGAATATGTTATTTTCTCTTTTATATTTGTTGATGAGATTTGAACTTTTTTTGTTTCATATTTATGACTGATGTGGAATGAGATAGGGCATGTTTAAGCCGTGGCAGATGTAAAAGGGATGAAAATGTGGGTATATTTTCTTCTGTTCGGAGGTTCTCGAAGCCAACTAGTTTCGCTTGTTATACACTGTCAGATACGTTTTAACATGACTATTATAATTAACTGTTTGATGATGCTGTACGTACTATCTTCAGCATTCAAGATGCTTATTTGGGAGTGCCCATCCAAAAGAAGGAAAATAGTTTTAAGTGTGTGATAAGTGTTAAGCAAGTTAAACTTGTACTTAAATAGCAGTTTTGTCAAGCTGTTCATTGATCTTATCATCGGTGCTAAGAAACTTTCAATATTTGAGTGGAACTTGGATGGTAGTTATATCACATCAAATTTTTTCGGCAATAACAAACTTTCAAATGTTTACTTCATGACGGCAGTCCTAAGTGTTTTGTATCATCTTTGATGTAAGCCATTTTTATGGTGTGCTGGTTTACTTCCATACCATGTGCTACAATCAATAATCTTGCCTTATAGACACATTAGTGCGCCTTAGTAGACAAAGTTTGAGAGACGCAGCTGGTCATAGTGATAATAATGAGAATAATAAAGTTGATGAGGGGCAGAACTGCTACTTAAAGCATCATTTGTATGCCTTTGATATTGCATGACAAACTCTTAGGGTTTGTTCATGCTATTGTAACATTCATATGATTTAATCATTAAGCATGGTCTATTGTGTATATCTTTACAGTGGTGATTTTTGGGTATAGTGGTTGAGAAGGGACAACTGAAGTCAGAGATGCTATTTGTGAATATTTGCTTCATTTAGTTTTTGACCAAGGACAAATTCAGATTTTTACTTTTGATATTAAAGCATTCTCAGCCTATTGTACTCTACATTATACTCCCAACACTCACATGAGACTATGTAGATGAATAGCCTTTAGTGGCAGGCTATTATTTAAGGTCAAAAGAACTTTAATTAGTGCACCCTTTAAGATGAAAGTGTATTGTATGCTTTATACTAGCATAAACAACAGTCTGTTTCTTATCCTATCCTTGCTTTATTTGTTAACAGTACAGTTCCAGTCAACTCTAGCTTATATTCAATGTCTGAGAAATAATAAAATCATTCAGATTTATTTGCAGTGAGCCACATCTTTGAAATCAATCTCTCTGTTGGAGATGTATAATATCTTTGGCAGTCACCTTGGCCTTTTCTGATAAGATTGTTTTGAATTTGTTGATTATTCATTACCTTTGTCTACTTAATCATGTGGCATAATATGACTAGATTAGTATGACCATGTATTCTACTGTATGCCTTTTTGGCGCCTATCACCTTAAGTGATTGAACCTTGGATCTTTTCAACTTTGAGCACCTGGTTACAGACTCTTAACCACGCGTCTTAGGATAATTCTGAGCTTTTTGTTAGTTTCCAGCGACCTTCAGCAGTTTGTCATCTGATTGATAGTTTTCTCTATATGTTGGCATGCTTATCTTTGGCTATTTTTATGTTCTTTATAGTGTTATGTGATATCATGCAATGTTCAGAATTTTTATTTTTGTTGAAAGCAAATTCTTTCTTCCCTTCAATCTTTTGGGTTTATGAGTGTTTTCATCTTGAGTGTTTAGTATTTACTAGTGAAAAGCTGAATTTAACCAAATTATAATTTGTTTTTTATTATAATATTTGGCTTTACGCAACTTCTTGTTCTCATGTTATTCTTGCTAATATGATTGATTTTCTGCTGCATGCAGTATGTTAGACCTGGTGCAGCCCCAATACCTGGACCAACAACTGTTGGTCCTGGTGGAGCCCCAGGTCAAGTTCGTCCTCTTGTCAACATGGGTCCAACTGCTGGTCGTGGTAGAGGGGACTGGCGACCAACTGGATTGAAAAATGCTCCTCCCATGCAGAGAGGTTTTCCTGGAATGCCTGGTCCTGGTAACAATATGGCAGGACGTGGTTTCGGAGTTGGACTGGAATTCACACTTCCTTCTCACAAGTAATTTTTTATTAGCCGCAAATTCTGGTTGAATCCTAGATTTTGATATTACATTATATACAGCTTTTTCTTGTTTCATCAAGCATGTCGTTCAAGTTTAGTGGATTGCTTGTTCGTTTTGTACAACTCATTTTTATTGATACAACTCTCTTAGTTTCTTGTTTCGTCAAGAAGTTGATTTTCACTCTGCTGCAATTAGGAAGGGGCTGTCCTTTTTTTTTTTCTTCTCTTTTGATCTTTTACTTAGTTGCTATCCTAGGCCATCTTTACTTAGTTTTATGTATGATCATAGTTATACTTTCTCCTCTAGTTAAGTATCCATGAAGTCTAGTGTCTATAGTGGAGTCACTTTATTAAATTTTATGTGAATACAATCTGATTTTAACGATGCACTGAGAAAAAAGGAGCAAATTGCTTCTTGCAGTATGTCTATTGTCTTATTTTTAGTGCTTATGCTGAACATAGTATCTGTTAAATACACCAGTATGATTTGTAAAATTATCCGATTTGATTTTTTTGTTGTCTCATTAAGGGAGTTTGTCTTCCTTGTTATTTTCAGGACTATATTTGATGTTGACATTGATGGTTTTGAAGAGAAACCATGGAAATACCCTGGTGTTGATGTATCAGACTTCTTCAATTTTGGGTTGACTGAGGAGAGCTGGAAGGATTATTGCAAACAGCTGGTAACTACTGACCTTTAATCATATCTTCTACTTGGTAAAGCAAGACTAAGAAGTCCCTGTTTCAATATTCTGCAGGAACAACACCGCCTAGAGACTACCATGCAAAGCAAAATTCGTGTTTATGAAAGTGGACGAACAGATCAGGTAATGAGGTGCATAGCATATGTGTCTCTGGAAAATTTGTAGTTGTTATGTATATCTCTGTCTTCCTTTCGTGTGTATGAATATAGAAATAGACAGATAGATGATAATGCTTCTGAGTTTGCACTTGGAGGGAAGGAATATTATTAATTCTGTTGTGGTTTTCATTTTAGGAGTACGATCCCGATTTGCCCCCAGAATTAGCAGCAGCAACTGGTATTCTAGATGTTGCAGCTGATAATGCAAATGTTGGAAAATCAGATGTTGGACA